AGAGCACACCAATTGGTTATCCAGAGCTAAATGGTCAGTTATGCAAGTAACAGTACATAGATTGAGCAGGTTGTGTTTTTACATTTGAGAATGTGTGTGTATGCCTCTGTGTGTGTGTGCCTGTAACAACAACTAATAAAAAAAGAGAACATGAATTTGAAAAAGGTGGTGTATATGGGAGGTCATGTGGGGAGAGAAAGGAAGGAGCAAATGATGTAATTATATTATAATCTCAAAATAAAAGGTAAACATAAATAATAAAACATAAGAAAATAATTCTGAGTTTGCACGGCATACCAGGCAGTATGATATCAAAGACCTTCTTAGAAACAGTGCTTCACGGGTAAAGAGGGTGAATCCTTAAGGTTGCAGAGAATGGAGTTCAGCTCTGTTGCTAGAATTTTTGTCCTTCTCCTTTAGAAAAGGCTCCCTTGGAGCTTTGCCATGGGTAGAGATCCCTGAAACAACGGGAGACAGACTAACTCAGGCGGGGCTGCTGACTCTGGCTTAGTGACTCAGGGATGGCTGGGTGAGTTGCACATATGCAGTGCATAGACTAATTATCAGATCAGTATACTGGAGTCTTCCAGGTCTCCAGAGTCTTGGGAAATACAGAAACCTGGACATAAGGAGTTGAACTTGTCCTGCCTCTCCTGGATGCTGCCGCTACTAGGGACAGCACAAAAATGAGACCCGTGTCTCTGCACTGGTATACATGGAAATGGTTTTTACTCTTGAAATGCACACAGCTTGTTCAGAAAGTTTTCAGGAGACTTTTAGAAAAAATAAACCACTTTATATAGGCTATTCAGGTGTTTTTCTTTGTAATTTTGTAGTTTTTTAATTCAGCAAATTTCTCCACCTTTTGTAAGATTTCTATTCTTGCTATCTTGGGTCTTCATTGACTTAGGATTGCTTAGCTCATCAGACAATCTGAGACCATAGCACACCATTTCCTATTTAAAAGATTTTCATTTTCATTTGATAGAAAGCATCCTGGAATTTTATTTTTTACTTTAATTATTTTTGAAAAATTCATATGTGTATACAATATGTCTTGGCCAGATTACTTTCCCACTCCCTCCACCAGCTTTTCCCAACACCTCTAACATATTTTCCACCTCTCTCAACTTGTCTTGTCTCTATTACTATCAATAGTTTTCATTCTTCCCTCTTCCTTCTTCTGTCCATGACTGCTGTTTCTACTCCAGTTTTAGGTCTTCACCTTCAATCCCCTAAAATCTATCGGGACTCAGTTTTTGCCAGTTTTTGTGAAAGAACTTTTGGAAGCTAGGCTTTGTCATTTATAGACATGTCTATTTGTATATGTATCGAGCAAGCTAAAGAAATAAGCTGCATTTTCTTTCTACTAATGAGTAGAATTTTAATTTCGAGTGATCAAATGCATGAAATTTGCTTGTGGACATGTATCCATGTGATAAAAAGAATCGGATCTACTTTGTGGATCAAATCTTGTGTGACTATAGGTAATTCATTTAACCTTTCTTTGCCTCAGTTTTCTCAGTTGTAAAAATGGGAATAGGCAACAAGTTCATCTGGAATGTTTTTTAGTGAGGATCAGTTCAGGTTAGTATATAAAACACATTAGAAAATTGCAGGCTCAGAGTAAGTAGAATATAAGTGTTTGCTCTTATATAACAGTTAAAATTATCAGTGTTCTCACTGTAGACTCTCACAAGCCTACTCTTTGATCTAGACCAACATTCTCTAGTACAAAATAAGGCAAATTGCATGTTCCCTTAATCATTTCTAATAGTCACATTTCAAAGTGTAAAAAACTAAATTTTAATGATATATCTTAACTTAGGCTACTTTATAAAAATACTTCAGGATGCAGTCAATATAAAACTATTGACAAGCAATTTTAAACAATTATCATACTGTGTCAGGATGTGAGTATACATCATACTCTGACAGTTCATCTCAATTTGGGCTAACGATCTTTAAGGGCTCACTATTGTATCATCTGATAGAAAGTATACCTGGTGTTGCAGAGATAGATCATAAAACATTAATACTAACATTGAGAAAGAACTCTTTTGCCTTTATAGTCTCTGTGGCATTGTTATCAGAGTATTTAGTGGTATTAGTAACTATGATGGTTTACACATGCTCGGTCCAGGGGGTGGCACTGTTAAGAGGTGTGGTATTGTTGGAATAGCTGTGTCGCAGTGGGGATGGGCTTAAATACCCTCAACCTAGCTGCCTGGAAGCAAGTATTCTACTAGCAGCCTTTAGACAAAGATGCAGAACTCTCAGTTCCTCCTGCACTGTGCCTGCCTGGTTTCTACCATGTTTCCACCTTGATGATAATGGACTGAGTCTCTGAACCTGTAATCCAGCCCCAATTAAATGTTGTCCTTCTAAGAGTTGCTTTGGTCATGGTGTCTGTGTACAGCAGTAAAACACATAACTAATAAGATAATAACCTTGGAACAGCATTGTGCTCAAGAAAGTATGTTGCAGCATGCTAGTAATTCCAGAACCTAGCAGCCTTAGGCAGGAGGATTTAAAGTTAGAGGATAGCCTGGACTACATAGAAAAACCAAGCACACACACACACACACACACACACACACACACACACACACCCCGACCCCTCTGGGGGCTGTCTGGTTTTCAAACTGGAGCTCACTTTAACAACCTCTTGTTTTCTACATTCCCAACTGTTATGTATCTTATTCCTCCAGGACCTTAGTGTGACTAAACTAGAGTCAGTTCTCATTATTCTCAGTAGTTACATAACTGTTATAGGTGCTAAATTAGTAACCATGAACCCATAGTTTCCCCTGGGGGAAATGTAAGATTAGGTTTCTGTTAACCTCTAGCCACAATATGATACCAACATAATGTCATTTTATGCACATTTCAGCGTATAGATATCTAAATGTAGGTCTTAACCCACAACCAACAGTACTGTAATTTATGGCCAAATGAAACTTTTTTAATACATAGGCTAAGACAACACTTCATCACTACGCTTGGATCGTTTAACCCATGGAAATCATCAACAGGAAGCCCACAGATGTAAAACAGGACAGTAAATGGACTTGTAAAAGGACACTTGTTTGACAACATGAGAGCAAAATAGGAAGGCAGAATGTTGCCTCACTTGACCTCGGCTGGGATCTGCTGCACTGTGCACAGCTACGAATGGCCAGGAAAGCAACCCCGAGCACCGACTCAGGAGTTACAAATAAACGTCAGTGAATAGGCGTATCTGTGAATAATGAGGATCAGCTGTACTGTTTACTTTCTTGACAACATTCTCATTTTCAGAAATGCCTTCAGTACACTTGGGTGGGCAGTTGTGAAACTACTGGGGTTCTTTGAGCCTCATCATGTTCAGCAGCAGAGAGCTGCTGGCCACGGGGAGTAGAACAAGCCAGGTAGGGTATCCTGAGCTTTTTCATGGGTAGGGTCAGCTATGAACAGCAAAATCCAGAGAAGGAGCAAGGCTTCCTACTTGGAAAACACACAAGCAAAGGATCTCAGAGAACACAGACTTTAAGTTCAGGTTGTTTCCCCCTACCCCCCTAGTATGGGTTAAAAAACAGGCAGTAGAGGAGCATTAGACAAGGGGGACATATCACGGAGAGCTAGCATCAGCCATGATGGACTGCTAAGGCTAGGATTCTGGGTGAATGTGACTGAGGTTCCCAGAGTAGCCTTTTCTTGCCAATTTGTATGGCAGATCCCAAGTACATTATTGTGAGATAGAGATACAGAGTTTCAAGTGAAGACAATTGCTGGCTCACACCCCAGCTTACACAACCAGCTGCAAATTATGCAAGGAGTTTTGATTATTTTTTTCATCTAGTTATCACTAACCTCATCATTAATCAAGTTGACCCAATTTTCTAAATTCGCCAGGACCAAACTCTGTGTGTCTTATCAGTCCATTTCCTGTTTGAAATGAAGAAACATGTATGTATGAGATGCAAGTGGTCTTAGTTTGTGAAGAAAACTGGGACATATTTAAAATGCCCAGTGATTCTGTTATCATGTAAATGTACTCACTCCATGGCTTTCCTTTTGGAAACCTTGAACAAACGTGGTACTTTCTTTTTTATAAACCAAGGATGGGACTTGTTATTCTTAGGGGAACCAGTTCCATTTCACTGCAAAAATTCTCTGAGTCAGGTTTGTTTTCACTGGAAGTATTCTCTTGTTCCCCTTTCAGTGGAAAACAGCTTTTCCTAGGGCTTATTTTATATATGATTCAGTCTTGTTTCAATCTCTTCCCACTCTATTCTGAAAGGTCTTGTACATGAGAAGACATGCTTATATATTAAATTTAAAAATTGGCATTTAAGTTTACAACTTTCCTCCTGGCATTTTTAGATGGCTTATTTGCTTCTCACCCCTGACCCCAATACCTAGTCATCTACTCTCTCTTCCTGCCCTTTCCCTTCAATTTTTAAAGAAAGAGTATAATAAATATTCTTATTAATTCTTTTAAGAGTTTCATATAATGCAATTCGCTCATTCACCCACACTTTCCCCCAACTCATCCTAGATCCACTCCCACTTCACCCAACTTAGTGCTCCTCTGCTTAAAAAATAACCCATCAAGTCCAATTTGTGTAGCCCATATGTACTCCTGGGTACAGGGCCATCCATTGGAGTGAGGCTGGCCTACTGACTCTTTCTCCACCTCTCTCAACTATCAACTGATATTCAATGAAGGGTGATGGCTCATGTGCTTCTTCTCCATCCATGCTAGCATGTTGACTGTTTTGCTCTTGCGCAGGCATCCGCAGCTGCTGTGATGCATGAATGTAGGGGTCCAGTAATGCACAGAGGATGGTGTTTGGCTCCCTTCTGGACCTCTGGCTTTTGCCATCTTTCTACTCCCTCTGTCATGATGTTCCTTGAGCCTTGTGGTGGAAACTGTGCTATAGATGTCCCATTTGTGACAGAGACTGCACTGAAACTCAGTCTCTGTCCCTTGACCACTAACCCCCTACTCTCATCTTAAATATACAAAATGCTTCATGAATACATGCCATCTTTGAGAGAGAGGAGCATGCTAATCTTCCCTGTATCATTTTGACTTTGGTAGATGCACTACTGAAGCAAGTGCTGTATTTATACTTTAAACAAAATTAATGAGCCCCCACGAATACAGTTTTGTGTTTTATTCCAATTTTGTAAAAGTCAGTGGAGAACACAGAAAAAGAACAGAAAAAACTCATGGGATGTTATAACATGACACCATGAGAAGACCAACCATGGTAGGAAGGTGCTAAGAGGTCAAGCAAATGAGTCTGGATAAGATGAAGCTTAGAAAAAGTTGATCTCATAGAAATATAAAGGGGTTCATTACTACTACTAAGGAGGAGAGGGGACCAAAAGAAGATCATCAGTGGGTTCGAGGGAGTGTAGCAAAGAACAAATAATTTTATTTATTCTTCTCACATATAACACATCTCAATTTCAGTTTGCCATTCCATCACTTCTCCCAGTCACCTCCACGACCTTCCTTCTCCCTCAGGTCCATTCTTGTTGTTGTTCTTCCCCTTCTTCTTCCTCTTCTCCTTCCTCTTTCCCTTCTTCCCCTTCCTCTTCTTCCCCTTCCACTTCTTCCCCTTCCCCTTCTTCCCCTTCCCCTTCTTCCCCTTCCCCTTCTTCCCCTTCTTCCCCTTCTCCCCCTTCCCCTTCTCCCCCTTCCCCTTCTTCCCCTTCTCCCCTTCCCCTTCTCCCCCTTCCCCTTCTTCCCCTTCCCCTTCTTCCCCTTC